ATCACCACAAAAAACACAACTACCCTCTGCACCTGATTGCTAACATGGAGGCTCTGCTTACATTTAACATCCCACCAAATTGCACAATAAACAACACAGCTGAGAAAGCCTTAAAAATATGCACAAAAGGAAGAATTGTCTTACAGTTGTGTTTCCCTGCTGTGGAAATGTTTAATCTCACCTTTTATCCACACATGTGAGCGCTTGGTCAGTGGTAGGACCTCTCGCATTTTCAGACATTTCTCAACAATCTCACTCTATAATCTGATGAGTGTTTTAGCATCTTAGATGACCCTTCTGCAACTCTCCAACTTAAAATCAAAGAAGCTATTCACTTTCAATGGGGACAACCTTCAATTAATCATCAATTTTATCATGTTAATTTAACTTTCCATGTACATGTAATTGCATACATTGTTTGTTTACATTGTTTGTTTCTATTGTTTGTTTTGTCTGATGACCTTCGTTATACACTTTAAATTCAACTTCATAGAAATTGGAACTGAAGATGACAGAAAAACTGTCAAAATATGTTTTTAAAAAGTGTCGTATATTTCCTTAAACTTGTGACATATCTGCTACTATCCAGACCTGTTCAAAAGCAGTTGCCTTTTCTCAGAAAGCAAAGAATTATCTGTTAGACATGTTCTGGACATGGAAGAAAACTGGTAAGAAGGTAAATGCCTCTGAATTGGCTTCCCAAATACAGAGTTTAAGAGTTGTTCGTAACTGTAATAATTGCATTAGACATTAAACTTATAAAGAACATGATAATGAAGTCACTTGGACAAAGGTACTTTTCTGCACAAGAGACTATGCACCACTTGTTGCCATTAAAACTACTCAGCTCCTCACTTAATGTAGTTAGCATTAGTTTGGATGGTTCTCACAAAATTCAAATTAATTCTACTGAGAGAAATGTTGGAACAAATGATTCACTTCTAGATGTTTATGCTAAGTGTGCTGTGTACATTGAAAGTATTCCTGATATTATGACTTTAAATTTCTTAACTTTACAACCAAATATAAAACTGTAAACAACAAACTGACACCTCAGCACCCACAGGAAGTTTCAGTGGTAGTCACCAACAGGAAGTCCTCACCTTGAGTTTTCCCAGTTTATTCTTTGAATAAGAAAGGGCCAAATTCTTCACTTTAC